TGTAAAATATTAATTGACTCTTAAATGTCTAATTAATCATATATATTAAGTGTCCCAATCTGCTTTCAATCTCTATTAAAAATAAAGAATCTTTAGATTTCACAGACTCAATTTTGGAATCTTAACCCAAATTTTCTTTATCATATTAAATCAAATAGCTAATATTTGAAAACAATTCTTCTTAGCTTAATCCTTTCATAGATGTTTATTGAAATTTACAAATTTCACCTGTTTTATTTATTGGGAGAGAAAATTCGGTGATTAATTTTTCACTAATTTCATTAAGTTATAGGTTGTTATTCTTTCTCATAATTGCAATTTATTGATTCAATTCTTCTTATTTTTCTTATCTCTTTAATATTGGTTTTTTGTATGATTCCATTCTTAATTTACTTTTTTAATCGTTCTAAATTTACATTTGGAGCGATCTTCAATACAATCAACGCACACAAACCTATCTTCCATTTTTTTATTATTATGAGTAGGGCATACTCTATTTAAACTTGGCGTTTTCTAAAAAATTATTTAAAATATTACTTAATTATTTTTATTTTATAGAGGGATTATTACAATTATGATATTTTGATTGATTCAATTTAAAATTCTAGTGTAAAAATGTTTATTTAGTTTTCAAATTCATTTGATATAGAAATTATTTAATAATATTAAATAATATACATTCTTTGTCAGGTTCAATACTTTATATATACTTCTAAAGTTAATCAAATTATTCATATTCATAAATTTCTAAGAGAAATTACATTATTAATACATAGAATAATTAGTTAGTACAAATTTAGAATATGATCTAAATAAAAAAGATTTATAAGTTTTAAATTCCAGATTTTTTAATTCTTATTGAATCTAGTCAATATAAATAATATATTAAAATGTTGAAGCCTTTTAAAATTAATTTTGATAATATATTGATTAAGAAATACATCAGTTAGTTAGTTTTATCTTATAAAAAATAATTGTTCTTCCCTTTTAAGTGAGTAAAAATTATCTTTAAAAACATTTTAATTTTTCTTAATTGATTCATAAATAAATTCAGCACCTTTACAATTTACAATAGTTAAAGTCCTTATTTTCTTAGGATTTTTGTTGAAGAAATCTTAACAAAAACCCTGATTAACATGACTAAATCAAGACTTAAATTACTTTCTTAATTCTATGATGATCTATTAGGAATAAAATAGACACATATATAAAATTAATTGTTCAATTATAACATATTATATTTACAAATAGGAAGTTTTAAGGAAGTAATATTAACAATTCAGGAAAAATGGAAAATAAAGCTATGAGTATTTAAAGGAGATTGAGAATTACAATAAATATATAATTATTAAGAAGTTATAATTTGAAACGATCAAAAAAGTAACAAATTATAAAACAATAATTCAAACAATTGATCCTTTATTTGAATAATTTATTTTATATTTTACATAATAATTCTGCAATATTAGAAAAATATTAAAAATTTTTTTAATTTTACTAAATTATGGAATTTTATTCTTCTAAATTTATCATTTTAAATTATTAAGGAAGTATCAATTAGTCTTACCCAAATAATTTTATTTAAGAAAACTCAATATTAACCATATCATATGTCAAGATTATTTTATGTTAATTTAAAAATAAAAATTTAATTAACTTTTACATCATGATGATGTAATAATTAGGATCATCTAAGAAGGTGCCTTCTTCGATCCCGAATTGGTTGCTAGCGTTCTACAGCAACCCAAAACGAGTGCTGACCTTGACTATCAAGGAAATCAGAATGAAAGGAAGAGGGTAAGATTTAAGGACTCGTAACTCGGACAATCTTCCAAAGCCCCCGTTGAGACAAGTCTCTCAAGGTAAGATGTGCATTTAATGTGAATTTTTTAAAATTGCTTTTGAAAAATTTTTGATAAATATTCTTTTCCATTCTTCAATTAATTGTCTTGATATATAATTAAGTCTCATATATTTTCTTAGAAATCAATTCAAGCTTTTGAAATCATTATATATATTTTTTCATTACTTAACGTATATACTGAAAATTTAGAAAAAAATGGACAGAAAGATCTGACCTCAATAAATAAAATATTTATTTTATTATTGTTAAGAAATGCCATTTTAAACAAAAATTGAACATTAATCAGTTTGTTTTTAATTTCATACTCTTATTTTTGATAAAAATAATTTCATTTTTTGTGAAATTGCTATTTTCTTTAGTATACTTAAATCATTAATCTAAAAATCTTTAGGTAAATTAACTTTTATGTAATACATATTGACATCTAAAAGCAAAAGATTATAATAATGAATTAGAATTCCAATTTCCCCTTATATGTAAGAAAGCTTAGAAAGAAGTAGAATAGTTATTAATCGAATTTAATATAAAATTATACTCTCCTTTCATAAATAAGAGAGAATACTTTTTAGCATTTTTTTGAACTAATTCAAAATCATAAGAAATATATCTTTTAATCTTAAATACAACACAATTATTGTGTTAAATTCAAGTATTTTATGATGCATTATTATTTTGTAAGACAATAAATTTAGAGTCTAAATTTTTAAATCGAAATAGCATTTAGTTATTATATTATGAAATTATTAATTTAGAAACTGTGTTAAGTTCATTCTAAAATTTAGTTTCAGTATAATTAATATCAATTTTTATTAAAATTAAATATCTTTTTGTTATTTTTACTATAAACAAAGTAAATCATCTTAAATTCATCCTATTGTTGGATTTTTTAATTTATATTTATAGTATCTATTATTAAATAAGTGATATTAATCGATTTAAAATTATAGACTTAATTGAAGTCTTTATTTTCAAATTAAATAAATGACACCATCATATGTAAGAGAACAAAGATATGTTTAAGATCAAATGGTAAGATGTATTTAAGTGAAAATTGAAGCAGTTACAATGATTTATTTCTAATTTTTTTATAATTTCTTTAATTACTTTAAATGTGATAAATTTAAATCCAAATTTTATTGGTAAATCCTCTTAGTGAAATACTATATTACCCTAAGCTTTAGCGAAATTAATAAGGAAAATATATTTGTAAGTTGTGAGAAGAGATGATATAAATCATTTTGATGAATTCATTTCATAAATGATTAATAATTTTTTTGGGTTACATTAGATAATTATATTTTAGTAGTTGAATAATAGAATGGATCTTTAAGTAGAATTCAAAGAAAACTATCACTTTAATTAAAAATGATGAATTTAATAATAATTTATTATTTCCAATTATACCTAATAAAGATAAAATGTGATATTTTTAAGACACAACAAAATCATATCTATTTAATTAAACAATTAAACGATGGCACATTTAACATTCTTACATCATTAAATTCTTAAACTCATGAATCTTTTTGAACAATGACCAATAATGCATAATATTTAGTATTTTGGGATTTAAAATATCAAAAATACTCACCATATGAGATATTATATAAATGAAATATATAAAAATCTATATTTCATATAAAAAATTAAATAAATTATTTTCCAATTAAAGGAAATTTTCTTTTTTTCTAATTTTTGCCTCTTTATCTTAACCATTTTGTAATATTAGAATAAATAAATCTATGGTTGATAATAAAATCATTTATTAGATTGCTCAAAGAGTTTACTAGATGTGTTTATTTGTTTATTATAATTGAAAATGAAATTAAATAGGAAATTTGAAGAATCATATCATAAAATTGAAATAACGAATTATTTTTAGTAAAAGAATTAAAATGGATAACATAATTTATGGCTTGCAAAGAAAGATTCAATATTTAGGGATTGTAATAATTAAACCGCATTTTTAATATATATAGGCTGCCTTATATTTTAATTAAATCAAAACTTATTATAAGGATCAAAATTGTGACATTTCGAAAACCTCAGAATATTTCTTCTTACAGTTATCCTTAAGGTATAATTATTGGATTTTCATTTAATAATTAAAAGTGATATCTACTCTTTTTCTTCGAATATTTTTATATATATTCATATATATAACCTGATGGATCTTTTATCATCCCAGAGAGTGTTCGATGATTATTTAAATTTCAATCTCACTAGAATCTAGTAAATTATACATATAAAAATAATACGCATTCTTAAGTATTTGATTGACTCTTGTAAATTCATCTAATATTGCATTCCATCACTAAATTATAGCCTTCCTACAAAACTAATTCCCTCATAATTTTTATAAATTAAATCTGTTTTTGGAAGAAATTTTTCATTTAGAAAAATTAAAGTAAATTTATTGGATTATGGAATGATAATATTATCAAATAATCTAATTACAGATTTAATTCAGTTGTCTTAAACACAAATTTTGTCCTAACTGGCTTTTAAGTAATCTCTATTACATTATTATTACAAACAAGCTAAAAAAGTTACTGTAAATTATTCATTTGAAATCCATATACATTTTCCACCTACTAGACTTTAAATATATGAAAACATGCTAAGCAATTTTTTTGAAGGACCATTATAAATTTACAGGTAGGATGGAAAGTATGATATAATGAACATATTTCTAATAATGAGGATTTTAACAAATTTTAATCTTAAAATAATCATGCTTTTTTTAACAAAGTAATTCTATATCAATTAAACTTACTATTGTGTAGAATTCAAATTTTTCTATCAGATCGCTTCACTATATTAAATTAAATCACTTCTAATATATTCTCTGATGTATATAATCCCTAAAATAATGTTCCGTAATAAGAAAAACTTAAAATTTAGTTGAAGGAAGTTCTGCTTCTCTAAACAAAAATCCAAAATTATTTAAACTTAAAAACTTTTATAGAAGAGGCTTCATCATCATTAAATTAGATATACTATAACTAATTTGATTACAATTCCCAATTCTTCGGGGTCTAAAACTGTTGAGATTGACCAGAAATCTTTTAATATCAAAGTGTTAACATTCAAAATTGAAGCTCTGTAATACTATTATTGACCAGTCTCCAGTTTGCAACAACACTGAGGGCTTGGAATAGTAACAAAAGGAGCTCTAAAAATGTATAATCTTTTTTTTTAATATAATCTACATTCTAAGTAATTAATTATAATAAAATCATATAATATTTGGACAATTTTTCCTTCAAATAATGCCAATCTATTTTTGTAAGGTACCTTCTCTCTTTTTATTAATAAAGACTTTCATCCTTAATAATTAGCCCTGATCCCCCTCTTCTGAAATACTTCACTAGAAATAATAAATAAAATTAAAATATATATCATAAAGAAAACTTTTGATTTAAGTTTAGAAAGAATACAAAAACAATATTTTATCAAAAGAGAGTACAAAAGAATAAATTTATAAATAACCACAATAATTACAATAAAAAACAGTAATCAATAAAGATGCTACATATGTATTGGTTTAGTTCTAAGTCAGATAAAGGATATATATAATCAAAGATATCTCTTTGTAAAAGTTTTAACCATTAATTTTAGTTTTCCAAATTTTTCAGATACAAATTCTTAGTTCAGGTTTTTATTAGAATAAATTAGCATATTATTCAGATTTATCTAATCATAAAAAATATATTTATCCAAACTAAATGAAATCAAACTATCTCATATATAAAAAAGTATTAATAAACAAAAAGAATTAATTTGCTATAAAAAAATTATCTACTAATAAATCAATTCAAAAAATCATTAAGAATAAATTATGATGGATTATATAAATTAAAATTTTTATGTAAAAGAATGAATATTATTCTTTCTATAATTTGAGTTTTAGTAGGAATTTGTTAATTTTTTTCACTTATATATTGATTCCATTTCAATTTTAAATTTCGAAAGAGTATTTTTCATAATGATCATTTGTTAAATAATTTGTTAAATCCTACCCCTAAATTAATAAATTTTAGAAATTTTTTTTCAAATCTTCTATTTTCGAATATTATATTAGGATAGATAGACTATAATATATTCTCAAAAAAACCCAGTTTTTAAACTAAGCTTTATTAATAAAAGGCAAACCAAGATAAAAATAGTTCTGTCAATGAAATTTAAGAGAAAAAAGAGAAATCAAACATTTATTTGATTCATCTTCATCTCTATCTCCAAAGACATGGATTGATAGCATCATTAATTAAAATATAAAAACTTATTTTATTGGTTTATATAAGGATGCATTATCGAATATAAGATGAATAATATAATATTTATATCCCTAACTTCAAAAAGAAAGAAGGCATAATGATGAAAAAATCCATCTTTTATTTCTTGCTCTTAGAAATAATTAACACTCAATCTTCACATACTTGTCCTACTGGTTGTTCAGTGTGCAGTGGATCTAGTGGCAATTGTAGTGCTTGCTTATCTGGATATTACTTGGTAGGGTAAAATTGTAATCAATGCCCAACAAGTGATTGCTCACTATGTCGACTACCATGTTAAGTTTGTGTAATAAATAGTTCAGATTGTTAAACATGCAATGACTTAGCTAATTAAGAGGGTGTTACCTGTTAATGCAAACCAGGATATATTATGAACACCTCAAATTACTTTTGCGATTAATGTTAATTTCCATGTGTCACATGTTAAACAACAGTAAATTATTGTTTAACATGTGCTGCAACCTATACTATAGATTCAAGTACTCATACATGTTCATGCTTGACTAATCAATATGAAGTAAATGGTACACCAAAAACATGTCAAAATTGTACGAGTCCATGTTCAACTTGTACATAATCTGCAACTAATTGTGGTTCATGTGTAACTGGATTAAATAGAAATCTATAAACTAACTAATGCGTTTGTGATGATGGATATTATGAAAATACTACATGTTAACCATGTTAATAACCATGCATTAACTGTATTTCATTATCAGTTTGTACATCATGTAAAGATCCGACTTATTAATCAGGATCGTCATGTATTTGTTAACAAACTTATTTTATGAATGACTCTTATATGTGTTAAAATTGTGTTGCCCCTTGCTAAAATTGTAGTTCAGAATTGTTATGCGAATCATGTATATAAAATTATTACATTTCTGGAAATAATTGTTTATAATGCACTTGGCCATGTTACAATTGTGTTGATATTCCTACAAAATGTACATCATGTGTTGATTCAAATATAACACCAATCAATAATGTATGTAGTAGTGGTGGTTGTCCTGATGGATAATTTATGGATGCATCATTAAATTGTCAACCTTGTATTCATCCTTGTCTTAAGTGTTAAACAAATGGTAATCATTGTTTAGAGTGTGCAAATACATTTGAAATGAGTACTACTACTCCAAATACATGTGTTTGTCCTGTTCACAAATATCTAGTAGTAACTAATAATCCTACTGAATGTCTGTCTTGTACTTAACCATGTGATACATGTTCAGGAACAGCTGATCATTGTTTAACATGTATAGATAGTATTAATTAAACTGTTGATTCATCATATGAATGTAAATGCAATTCTGGTTTTATAACGAATGGAGTAAATTGTGAAGCTTGTCAAAAACCTTGTCTATAATGTTAAGGAACTACTAATTACTGTACTGCATGTAAAGATATAGAACATTTTATATCTAATGGATAATGTATTTGTAATCCTGGTTACATAAATGATAATGACTATAATTGTATACCTTGTTAAGATGAATATTAACTTGTTTAAGGATAATGTATATGTGAAATAGGATATTATTATATTGATTTTCATTGTGAATAATGTAGTTAGAATTGTAGTAAATGTAACTCAAAATATGAATGTACCGAATGTATAGATTAATATTATTTATAAAATACTTAATGTTTAAAATGTCAATTTCCATGTTTATAATGTTTTGATATTTAAACTTGTGAAACATGTACTGATAATTATTTCATTGATGATAAGGGAAGATGTATATAATGCATGTAAAATTGTGAATATTGTATTGATTCAACTAATTGTGTTAAGTGTTTTGATGAATTCTATTATCATAATTAGACATGTATCCCTTGTTCTCGTTAATGTTAGACATGTGAAACAAATAGTAAATTTTGTATATCCTGTTAAAATTCAAATCACATACTAGATAAAAAAAAAGGTACTTGCTATTAAATTAATGATTTTGGGGATTAGTATGATTATGATGTTTTAGAAGAAATACTATTACTCCAAGATATCAGATGCAATAAAAATTAATAATTGATAGGTTACGCATGTATTGATTAATGTGGAAATGGTATACTTAATGAATAATATGAATAATGTGATGATGGTAATCAACTTGGAGGAGATGGGTGCTCATTTTTTTGTATTTAAGAGGATTCCTATTTGTGCAAAAACTATGTAAATTCTCCTAGTATTTGTTCATTTATACAAGCTCCAGATTTTAGATTGAATCTTCTCTCCAATTAATAAAATCAAACTTAGCTTATTGAATTAAGTTTCACATAAAATGTTAAAATACCAACTGAAATGAATTTTTAAGAAATTGCAATAATTTCAATTATTCCATAAACTCTCACTAATATAAATATACTGAAAATAACAAGTCTATCAACTGAATTTGAATATCCAAAATATTAAATTATTGTTGAATTTATAGAACCTGTAGAAGATGCTTATCTATAGATAGAATTTGATTAATCACTTATCAAAAATGAATATGATTTAGATTTAATTAGATATTAAATGCAAATAAAACTTGGAAATCATTTTATACTTTCATAATAAAACTAAAAACAATTAACATAAATAGTACTTCTTAACGATGCAATTATGTATTCAATGATTAGTATATCTGGATTATCATTCCTTACTGGAAATGCTAACATGTTTTTTAATTTATTAGATCTCTTATAATCTTTATCCTATATTAGATATATGTAATATAATTTCCCACTTCATTTAATATAATTCTTGAATATATATTCTAAAATATCATTAAAACCTATATTGGATCATTTGCAGATTGATGAATTATTAAAATATTTAAATGGAGGTTAACTACCTTTCCAAAATTCAAAGAGCTTAGATTAGAATTAAGTAAATCCATTAAATTAAATTTACCTATTGAATGCTAAAGGTTGTTATCTATTAATTATTGTTTCATTACTAACATATATAATTTGTAGACTATTGACATCTTAAAAAATATTATAAATGTAAATAAAATTATTTCAAAAATATCAATAAAATGAAAAATACCTTCGTTATATTCTATTTTTCCAAAAGAAAATATAGAGCTTTTGTGCTAAATTTAAAAAAGAATACATCTCTTTTGGTTTACCTAAAGTCTATTTTGCAATATTGCATCAATTATTTTTTAGTGCCTTGTTGTAATTTCCAAATTATAGCTTTAATTCTTTATTTATGACTTTTAATAGCATCAATGCAATATTTTGTTTAATTTTAATTTTATATATTAGTTTATCATTATTGTCAATAACATAAACTAATATAAAAGATAGACTAAAATGGAAATATTTTTATTAGGATTCTTAACCTTAATTTTGGGCTTTCAATTAAAAATCATTCTAGATTTACAGAATAATGTTCTATATATTTATGATTGTTGAGGCACTTAATTATCCTGAAATATAATCAATTTTACTCTCTATGTCCTCATTTTTCTATTTAAAATACTTAGTTAAATTTAGACCTCTAAAATCTAAATATGAAGAAGCTAAACTAATATCCAGAGAGTTTTTTTTCATCCTTATTTCAGGGTCATTTTTAATTTATAGTTTTCAACTCAGTTATAATTAATAATTATATTATGGATGGATTCATATTGCACTTTTTACTCTTATGCTAATCTCCAATTTGATCATTGATTTAATAGAATGTATAAATAAAGCATTACAAAAACATAAAAGAAAGTAAGAAAAATTATAAAATAAAAGAAATTAATAATAAAATCAATCACCTTGAATAATTTATTATAGTAAGAAAGTAAACCAAAAATTGAAATAATTATCAAATAAACAATTTATTTATATATAAATATATATATTTATGAAATTATTTTAACAAAATCAACTGAATCAAATTGAATAAAATATTTAAATCTAAATTAATTTTTGTTGTTCATTTTTAATTTCACTTCAAGGTATCATGATTAATCCTAGAATTTTATGAAAATATCTTTAAATTTTAATGTTAAGTTTTAGTTAAAGAAATCGATGTAAATAAACATATTAACTTTAAACTTCTAAGAAAGATTATTTTTAAGTTTAATATAGAAAAGTCATAAATATGGTAGAGAAAGAGGCAGAAAAACAAATAATATACAATTTTACAATTTTATTGTACAAAATTATATACTATCTAAATTAATTATAAATTAAAACTTTTGATTTTCATGGGTATTTCTAATATAATTGTTAGTAATTTTATTTATTTTTAATTATATTTTTTCATTAAGATTAAAATTTTCCTTAATTTGTCATTATATTCCCCATTATTTATGAGCAAATTTAACACTTTTATAATTTTATGAAGGATACTCATCAAAACATTAATCACAAGCTAAACTCTTAGAACTTATTTTCTCTAACTACAAATCTAAAAAAACTATTCTGTTTGATTGATGTTCTTTACAGAATATATTTAATTTCTAAATTGATAAATAAAATCTAACCACTTATTTGTTTTTTTTGATTCTTCTTCCACCGTTACTTCCTGAAATTAATAGGGAAGTGATTGTTTATGTATTAAAATATTATCACATGTTTATAATATATCTGGTTCCTTTAGCTATTATAATAATTTGCTAATATCATTTTTAAATTCCTTAATTTGTGTACTTTGAAATTAATTAATAGAATTAAAAAATTCTTACAAATCATTCCCTTCTTGTTTATAAATTTTTTCTTCAAATAAAACCCTCATATTTTCTATTTTCTTTATCCATTCTTCCACACCATTATCAATCTTATTGTTTTATCGCCATCGAACTATTTGAGTGTAGTAATATTTTTTATCTAATCTTCTAATTAGTATATAACAATTTTTATCTATTCTTCTCTTGATTAAATAAGATGAGTTTTCATGTTCTAGACATTTTAAATTTATTAAGAAAATGTATTTCTTTATTGAGACATGAAAAATATTTTTTCGATTTAATAGAATTCAAAAATAATAATAGAAAGTATTTTTTTTTTCATTTCATTAGGAAAGCTAGTTAAAGAACTAAAGAATGAAAGATAAATCCATAATAATCAATATATTATAGAGAATAATATCAAAAAATAAGAATTGAATTTATCAAATATTGTATTTTATTATGTACTTCATTTTTCAATAGTCAAATATTAAAAATCATCTTTTTTGTTTATTCTGGATTGTTTTTTTAAATAGCAAAGCATTAATGACATAGTCCACTTCAAGTAATTTTTTAATTGTTGGTCGACATCAATCTCTAGTGTTAAAATAAGAATAAAAGTGAAACCTGCTATAGAGAATATTATTGCATAATTGATTTTTTGTACATTAATCCAGCCAAATAATTCAGTTCATTCTTTGTCTTCGTTATATATGATAATTTCATTTCTAGAGAAGACTATAGTATTTAACATCATTAGAATTTTTGTTATGAATAACTTAGTATATTAAAATTTATTCTCAAAAATCTTATAAATTTTAATTTAGCAACTAAATACAACTTATATCATAGCTGTAATCAGACTGTAAGCAGCTACAAGGCCTTAAAATGCAATCTTATTTTCTATTCCTTTTATTAACTGATACAGTTTTATTTACCTTATCATTTTACTTAAATATGAAAAAACAGAAGATATTAGGAAAAAATTACGCATTTATGGAATTATTGCCAATAAAGAGATTATTGTATTAAAAGTAGTATCTAGATTGAAGTTGACAACTTATTATATAGATGTAAAGGTCAATTCATAAAAGTTAGATGCATAAATTCTGATTAATTCAGAGCAAATAAAATATTGATTTTATTTTCTTGGCAGTTTTTAGAGTGAAAAAATAAAATTGATTACTTTCAAGAAAAATTCTAGACAATTATTGTAAAATATAGCTGACCAATTCTAATATTTAATAATTATAAGAAATTTATAAATTAAATACGAGATTACAAAATAAACTAATCCCAATATCACTATATAGAATAGTGTTAATAAGTTTTAGAAAAAATAACAATTGATTGAATAAAATTCGAATTTCCATTTGGCTGGNGATAATTAAACTCAAAAATAAAAATAACTAATATAAAAGTGGATTTTATTAAGAAAGCTTGATATATAATCAATATATTATAGGGAATAATATCAAAAAATTATATTTGAATTTATAAAATATTCTATTTTATTATTTACTTCATTTTTCAATAGTCAAATATTACATATCATCTTTTTTGTTTATTCTGGATTGTTTTTTTAAATAGCAAAGCATTAATGACATAGTCCACTTCAAGTAATTTTTTAATTGTTGGTCGACATCAATCTCTAGTGTTAAAATAAGAATAAAAGTGAAACCTGCTATAGAGAATATTATTGCATAATTGATTTTTTGTACATTAATCCAGCCAAATAATTCAGTTCATTCTTTGTCTTCGTTATATATGATAATTTCATTTCTAGAGAAGACTATAGTATTTAACATCATTAGAATTTTTGTTATGAATAACTTAGTATATTAAAATTTATTCTCAAAAATCTTATAAATTTTAATTTAGCAACTAAATACAACTTATATCATAGCTGTAATCAGACTGTAAGCAGCTACAAGGCCTTAAAATGCAATCTTATTTTCTATTCCTTTTATTAACTGATACAGTTTTATTTACCTTATCATTTTACTTAAATATGAAAAAACAGAAGATATTAGGAAAAAATTACGCATTTATGGAATTATTGCCAATAAAGAGATTATTGTATTAAAAGTAGTATCTAGATTGAAGTTGACAACTTATTATATAGATGTAAAGGTCAATTCATAAAAGTTAGATGCATAAATTCTGATTAATTCAGAGCAAATAAAATATTGATTTTATTTTCTTGGCAGTTTTTAGAGTGAAAAAATAAAATTGATTACTTTCAAGAAAAATTCTAGACAATTATTGTAAAATATAGCTGACCAATTCTAATATTTAATAATTATAAGAAATTTATAAATTAAATACGAGATTACAAAATAAACTAATCCCAATATCACTATATAGAATAGTGTTAATAAGTTTTAGAAAAAATAACAATTGATTGAATAAAATTCGAATTTCCATTTGGCTGGTATAAGTAAAATTTAATAATCAAATAGATTTTGTAAAAATAAATCTGTTTTCAATAAATCAAATATGGGAGTAAAAAATTCCAATAGTAAATATTTCATAATAGATTTGTTGGTTTTCTGGAAATTGAAGATATGTGATATTTCATGAATGATAATTATTTTAGCATATCAAGCAGATTCAATAAAATTTCTAAATTGCCAAATAAAAAAGCAACACAACTTAAAATCAAAATGATATACATAACAATTCTACCTAAAAGAGCAATTTTTTATAAAAGTGATTTGTGATGATTTGACATTTTATAATGAGATTTACTTTAAAACAGGAATATTCTTTTTAAAATTGACTAATAATTTATATGCTACATCAGTTAATTCAATAATGATAGAATTAATTGGTGTAACTTCAACATTATATTCTTTAGTATTTTCAGTAACAACTATAATCATCTATACATATTGTTCTTCACTAATATCTGTTACATTCAAATGTAGTTGTTAAGAAAATGATAATTTAAATTCTTGATTATCTGAGATTGTTTTTGGAGAGTTTAGTTAGTAAAATTTTAGGTAGAATAACGTAATTAAAAACACTTATATTATTCTCTTGTTGATATTTCCGATTTATTTCAACTTTACAAGTATAGCTACATCAATTATCACATTATTCTAATTGCTAAATTAAATATCCATCCCCACAAATATTATAACATTAAGAATCCATCTTCTAATTATCCTTTTTGACTTTCTATAAATAATCTTTAGAAACAATTGAGACACCTCTTATGACATGAACAAGAACATTGGTAGCATCCATCGAATTCAATATTATTTCCATCATCACACAATTCCTTTCCTAGTGCATATCCATCTCCAAATATTGAAGTACAAACACAATTATTCAATACCCACCCATTTTTTAACAATCTTCACATATCATAACATTACAAAAATTATATCCTATCTATTTGACATTTAAACAACAATCATAACGTAAATATAGAAAAATATTAATATTGATAACATTTATAATTTCTATCATCACATTGTTCTTCCTTGATAGAAACAATATATTTCCACAAAAATCAATGTTTGAATTTTTAAAAGCATTTATTTAAATACTCATCCCAAAAGCATTCTTAATTTTCATTATCCGTAAAGCAAATCTCTTTGATTATGTAATTCTAATAACTTTATTAAAATGTTTAAATGCTTAATAATATTCATTTTTTAAAATTTTCCCATTGCACACGCTTCTGAATATAACTTTATTTATAAGTGTATCCTCCTTTTTATCTAACTGTACAATATGACAAATATGAATTGCATTCCTAATAATAAGTAGAAGTAATTGATGTAGTTTAGTAAGTTTTTGTATAACATTTATCATCAATCCAGACACAAGGATTATAATCTATATCAAATGTACAGCCATCAGTAATATTAACATCTTCACAAGCATTTCTTAAAATAAATTGAAATTCATTAGTTACATATCCTCAAATATAGAAGCACAAGCTGAATCAATAGCATAATTATAGTCAAAACATCCTTTAATTCAAAAACTTCCTTTTTTAACAAGTTGAAAGGAAGTGCAGGGCTATAGGCACATATCCTTTCTAAGCATGTACTTTTCTCTTCATCCCAGAAGCAATAAATTCCACTTAAGTTTTTTTTTTCTATCACTTTTGCATTATTCAAATTTATATTTCATGCAGAAGATTTAAGCAATATCACATCCATCTAAATTTGTATTCACAGTACATGAATCATCAAAATACTATTGACAACAATGTGCTGAGTATATAATTAATTGTACAGTGTAATATTCCTTGATTGTATAGTAATATGGGTACAACTTTTATTTAAATAACAAGACTCTCATTGTGAATGTTAGTTATATAAAATATTGGCTTAGGTGCAATCTTCAACACATGAATTATTTTTAGTATTCCATTAACAATTTGCTAGCCAATCTTATTTGTCTGTTGGTATTAATGGGGCCGTAGGTTGATTTGAACACATTTTTTCTAAGCATATAGTAACATCTCAAAAACTAGGTATTCCTAAAGAATTCTTTGTATTATTAAAATAATTTATATTCAGTACCATCAATTGTACTTACACAAGCATCTTAATATTTTTATACTGAACATAATTATTTTTTGAGTGTGCATTTTGAAGTTAATGAAAATTAAATTGTTTATATGAAATTTATTTCGTTGCAATCTTAATGCGATTTAGGTTAGATGATACTACTATATTTACAGTTTTTATTATTATAGCATTTGGTTGTATTATTTGGAAACTAATAAGATTTTTCCTAATATATGCAATTAATAACCATAAATACTCTCACAAACAGATTATATTATATATTCATTACAAAATGTTCTTGGGCATGAAGACGTTTTTCATTTACAATAAGACCCATTACAAAACCTTCTTTCCACATAATATGACTCATTAAATATATTGGTAACTTTTCATATATTTTAACATTTCTACATTGTTTTCCTATGAAAAGCAATACTTACCATTTTTATTTTTATATGAACAACCATTTTCTGTTTCATAATCATTACATTCTAACATTTTGACAAATTGTGCCATCTGAGACAAATTTATATGAAGATTCTTAACAATAATATTTATTAAAAATTCAGCAATCATCAAAGCTAATACATTAACCCAATATAAACCACATTTTTCTTATTCTCTATAATCCTCTTTTGCAAATTATTTGCAGGGGTGTTAATTTTAGATTTTCATATTTTCATATTGGCCTGAGTTTAATTTACATTGATTCATCTTCCAAATGCAAATATGAGAACTTTTGCATTCCTTTTAACTTCTAATATGCCCACAAATGCAATTTTTAGATTTTTCTAAACTACCTATGAATAGAAATTGAAATAACAGAATAAAATAAAATTACTATAATTTCATTTAATTGGTGTGATTAATTTATTAAAAGTAGATAATAAAAATTGAATAGTATTTGAACATCTAAATTCTTTAATTTTTGATTATTTAAATAAATACATAGGATTCAAATTTATTCATTTAATTCTCAATAGTAATATTTTATCTGTCTTTATTTTGTTCAAAATTATAATCATTTAGGTTAGCATCCTTTCGATTCTCTTCATAATAGAATCCCCTTAAAACCCATCTTCTTAAGTTTTGTGAAGTAAATAGATTATTATTAGCTTTTAAAATTAAAATAACAACTTTCTAGTTTAATTTATCCTATAGTAAAAAACAATAATAATTTAGTTCAAGAGAATCTTCTATTGTCAAGAGAACTGAACTTCAACAAAGTTATTCCTAGAAGACTCTTTATACTTAGGAGTATCAACTAAATAAATTAAATATTTTATGGTTCAATTGATAAGTAAACAATAATTTATAAATAAAAAAAGCAAAGCAAATTTTTGTATAATATCGATCTCGCAATTATTTTCGATTTAGTTTCCATGTATTTTAATTATTTCAGGTTATCTTTTTAATAAATCTCTTTCTTACACAAGCCCATTATATCGATACAAAAATCATTAACAACTTAAAAATTTAGTTAAATACTTACATTAAATATACTGAAAGTTAATATGAAAATGATAAAGGCTCCCAATTTAATCCTTAATTCTTTAAAAATCATAAAAATACTTTCAAACCTTTTGTTATTTATTCTTTTAAATAATTATCTAATGATTTCGCAATATTTTCAAAATATAATAAGTCTATAATTTATGCGTTTTTTTTGCAATAGTTAATATAATCCTGTTATAGTTTTGCAAATGACTTAATATTTAAATATTTATATAAATATCATAAAATAAACTAAAAATTTTGCACTTCTTTATAAGAAAAATTATAATTTATAATCTTAAAAATTTCTTTGATAATATAACATTGGCAATTCGGAATTTTAATACTATTCTTAATCTGTAATGCTTTAGTATATAAGGATTGATCAGTTATCAACATCTCAATGGAGTTGGATGATATACAATTTTTTTATGTACCATTGCAATAGGCACATCGATATTGATATAAACATTATAGTATATTTCTACTGATTGATTTTCACAAATAGAATCACCAAAAAAGCAAATAACACATGTATAATGGCAAACTTTAATAATCAATATAATTTTATATTTATCAGAATATTGTACTTTATCAACATCATAATATCGATAAGGACAAAAGTTTTTGAATATTTCTTTTTGTTGATAAGCAGAGTTCCTTCTACATTCAAAATTTTATTTTTTATTTTATTTGACCTTTATTATAAAAGTTCTCAATTCTAATAAATAATTTTAAGACCTGTGTTATCATAAATACCTTTGCAAATTTTGTAAGTGAAATGATATTTGAAATATTTTAATTCAATTTCATCACTGAAATAATAATTTATGAGCATTAAAAAGTAATTAAAATTTTTGCATTCATCTTCTCTAGGCCCATCATTATCAGAGCAAGTATGGTGGTTAATTTCTAGAAATTGATGATATCAAAATAAGTTACATTAACACATAATTTAGTGATTCCAGTTTTAGTCATAGTCGAATAGATACTGATTATGAGAAATTAAATGAAAATTAGACAAGGATGAACATGATGTGTAGTTCAACCATGAAAATTTTCACATTAATATTAAAATTCTAGAATGAATTCATAAGATGAATACATATACAAATGCAACAATCATCATCATGTCATACTATAAAAAAATATTTGAATTGATCAGATATAATTTTATTATATTTTGCTATACACATTTTACAATATTCATTAACAGTATTACAATCTATTCTTAAATCTTAATTGTTATAGAATCTCCCAAATATTGTTAAATTATTGTAGAAATTCGAAAAATTTGATGGATTCAATTTAATCTTTAGAATATAGAAATACACTAAATATTCAATATTGATAAACACCTGTATCAAACGGCGGCATATTTGTTATGACATGCTAAAATGAATAAACAAATTTAAAACCTATATATAAAGTAGTATTGCCTTTCTGAAATAATTAAATTGTTTTAATTGGGCATAAATTACCTAGCCAAAAATATTTATAGTATAGGTTTAAGTAATCAGTGCAGTAGTCTATATTTTGCCTGTCTAATTAATAACAGAACGAATTAGTACATTATTTTAAATTACTTGATAAATTGATTTAACAAATTGTATCTCTAACTAATTAGTTTCATTAGCTCATTATATTATTATATCACTAAAAGATACTTAGATATTAAGATCTGCTCAGACCTGTACATCAAGGATAATTATTACTAAAGGATATGAATTTCCATTAATCTTATAACAGTAACAATCATTCAATTACAATCTTCTTTCATAAAATAAAATACCACCAATTCCTATCCAAACCACTTCATTATTATTTTAATCAATTTTTGCCCATAAAAATTAGATCTTTCAATTTATAATGTAGTGGAATATTAAAATAAGACTGATTAATTACTTCACCTTTTTTGTTTATCCACCAAAAAAATAAATAGATAATTCTTTATAACTCAATCTTAATCCCCGTTGGCTTTGAAATTCCAGAAGATGCATTCCAACCATATTTTACTATCTTATTTATGATTAATTAGGTCCAATTAGTATATAATACCTTCCAAACATAACATTTTGGTTTTTTATCTGCCTTTTAACAAACTAAACATTGATCTTGAATTTTTTTTAAATCCCCAATTTAATTATTTATGTGAATCAACCACACATATATAAGAAATATGAAGCATTGAAAGATCTTATTTAAATACAGGTCTATTTTCTTGGCGTTAAGCAAGAATAATAGAGGAGCTAAGAATTGGATTTTGATTTGGTATACAAAAGTTTGTAAATATTGAAAAGTATATATAAAAACTTTAAACAATTCTTTATGGATTAGTATTAGGGCTTTTGATAATTCCTATTTGGTTTTGAAATTAAATAGACATATGACATGATACTAAAGGGATAGCCAAAACCTTTATATTCAAGTTGTTGGAATTTTAGTTAAGGCAACTTAAAAAGATGAAACTTTAATTACAATTAGACAATAAATTTGGATAATTCAATCAAGTCAAAATTACTATAATGATATAAACGAAGCTCAGCAAGATTTTTGTTGAAGTAAAATTTACTTTTAATTAAAATCAAAATATTTCTATTGCTAATAGAGTTGACCAAATTGTGCCAGTTTATTGGTAATTAAATTGAATCAAGCTTTAAATACATTTATAATTTACCCATTTCAAATTATTATTTACTCTGCTGTATAAGCATTCATCATGTCGATAACTATTTGATTATTGGAATGATAGCTGTCAAAATTTAGAAATGATTGCGAACCAAATTAGTTGAATCTGAAAGTCAACTTCAAGTAAGAAATATGATTTCTGGCAGAAAAGAAATCGATTCATAGTTAATGACCTTATTTTCGGGAATAAATATCTGCTTTTATATAATATTAATTAAGCGTTTCAAATAGATTAGATAACTTATTTAATCTTTTCAATTTACTTTAGAATATCAATTTACTTTTAATAATCTTAAATAAATAATTCTTAGAAAATTTCATTTAATTATTTTTTCTGGATTTATACATAGGTTGTAAATTAATTTACATTTATTATTAAACTTTGAAATGTAGAGTTTCATCAATTTAATTACTTAGTTTTTTAATTTAAAGAAACGAAAAAAAGGGAGAATCTGACAAAACCCATTAGAATTTCAATTATAGAGCTATGCACATAAACAGAATGATTTCATTTTTTGAAATTCCTAATTTCAAATATAATCATACTGTATCAAATTCAAAATAAAACTTATGGATCTTCATAATACTTAATAATTACAATATTTTAAATGATTTTGAAATGCATTTTAAATAAGAACTACAATTTATCATATAATCAATTTATAATAAGTTGATTATAGTATTCTTAAAATTGATTTCACTTCATTATTAACATTATTGTATTTCAAAATTTTTTTGATAATCAACTTAACTTTTTTAAAGAAAAACTTATTTATTCTAAATAGTTATAAGAACAAATTGATAATGAATATCTTTATTCGAATGTTTAGATAAGATGATAGGATTTTTCATTAGATTTAAAATACCCAGTTGATAATACTCTTTTAATAGAAGCTGGTCAGAATCCTTGCAAAAAGTTGGATAGAAAATTTGTAAATTCTAAATTAGATTTTATGTTAATACTAAGTTTTTACAAAAAAGTCAAAATTTAAAGGTTTCAAAATTAATAAGGTTTGAATTTGTGATTTGCATAGATCTATCTATTTCATTCCTAAATACTAGTTAATGTTACAATAACTTTTTCAATATAATAATTGTTATCATCTAAAGTATTACAACTTAATTTATCTTTAAAAATAAATGATGGTAATGTTAAAAATAATTCCTTTAAAATTATAGAATTTAGATTATGAACTATAATACTTCTATGATAATTTCTTGGTTATTTTAAGGAATTCATTTAATTTAAAATGTAGGCAATCTTCATCTCTCAAATACAAAATATATTGAAAAAATATTGAGTTATTTTTATAGTTCCTTCTTTTAAGTTAAGAATAGAAAACAATAATAAGCTTATCTAATTGAATATAAAATATTTGTTATTAGATCTTTCATTTATTTAAATTTCTTAATTTCATCAATAATAATGAAATAATAATATATAAATTTTATTTAAGCATTTAATAGAAATACAAATAAATATAATTTAATATGATAAAAGAACTTTAGATAA